CTTTGTCTCCAAATTGGAGAGACATGAATTCAGCAGATAGACCGCTCCTTGGAAATGGAATTGTCTGGATGGTGACACTCAAACAATTGCAGTCAATGGCTCGATGTCCAAGTGGAGATCAGTGACGAGTGGTGTTCCTCAGGGGTCGGTACTGGGACCGGTGCTGTTTAACATCTTTGTCGGCGACATGGACAGGGAGACTGAGCGCACCCTCAGCAAGTTTGCTGAGGATGTCCAGGGAGCACCAAATGAGGCCTTCTTCAGGCAAGAGACAGAAACCTCACTTTCACAGGCCCTCGTCCTCACGAGGACTTGAACCACCCTGATATCTGCTGGAAGGACAACATTGCAGGACACATGCAATCCAGGTGGCTTCTGGAGAGCATCAATGATAACTTCCCAAGAATACAGAAAATGGTCTTGGAAAGCCAAAGCCCTCCTGAAGGTGCATCTGTTGAGGGATTTGAGGAACAAGAGTGTGGGAGCATACTTAAGAGACAATGGATATACTGATCCAGCCATGCGAGGAAGCAGACTGGCTTTAGGCTCTGGCCCTTGAAGTCACCTTGAGGAGAGAAAAACAGGATAGACAGAGACTGTTTCACACGAGTCGAGAAAAACATGTTTGGAGGAGTCGGACGAGCAGATGGGAAAAACAGAGATTAGAACGAACCAATCCGAGTCGCATGCTCACCTTGTGCACAGGACTATTAACCAATCAACTAATGCGTGAACATGAGTAGGGATAGAAAAATTGTATACAAGGGACAGTAGAATATCAATAAAAAGGCTTCTGTATGATTCACATTGGATCCTGTGAAGTCCAATTTCTCTCCCCACAAGAGTAGCTTCTCCAGTGACATCAGCAGCAAAAGGAAGGCTGGGAAAAACACAGGCCTTCTGCTAAGTGGGGCTGGGGCTCTAGAGACAAAGGACACAGAAAGGGCCGGTGTAGTGAGTGCTGCTTTTGCCTCATTCTCTTCTGGGGAGACTGGCCTTGAGGAACCCCAAGCCCCTGAGCCCCAAATCTGGTGGGAGAGGATCAGGTTAAAGAACCTGGATATAAAGAAGTTCATGGGAGCTGGCAGGATGTACCCTTCGTGCTGAGGGACCTGGCCAATGTCGGTATGAAGCTCCTCTGGACTACCTATGAAAGATCATGGCTATTGGGTGAGATTTCTGAGGATGGGAAAAAAATCGATGTCACTCCTATCTTCATGAAGGACAAGCAGGAGGAGCTGTGGAGCTGTCAGGCCAGTCTCCCATAACACCCTCCTAGAGAAGCTGACCAAGAATGGATTAGAGAAGTGAAAAGTGAGGTAGATTGCAAACTGGCTGGACATCTGGGCTCACGGCTTTTGCGACCAGCAGCATCAACTCCAGCTGGGGGCAAGTCACTAATGGTAATCCCCAGGTGCTGTTTAACCTCCTAATTACTGGCCTGGAGGATTAGACTGCGTGCACCCTCAAAGAGGTAACAGATGATGGGCTATTGGGAGGAGTGGCTGATAAACCACTGGGTGGCACTGTGATTCAGAGGGAACTCAACAGGCTGGAGAAATGGGTCGGAGTAGATCCTCATGAAGTCCCGCAAAGGGAAACACAAGGTCCTTTACAGAAAAGGACCTGCAGGTCCTGGCGGAGAAGTGGGACATGAGCCAGCAATGTGCCCTCACGGTAAAGAAGGCCACCAGCATCCTTGGCTGCATTAGGAAGAGCAGCAGGTGAGCTGCTCGGCACTGGTGAGGCCACTCCTGGGGTGCTGGGTCCAGTTCTGGGCTTCTCAGTGCAGCAAAATTAAGGACTGGCATAAATGGCTCCGGATCAGAGCCATGAAGATCACTGAGGGACCAGAGCATCTTTCACATGAAGAGAGGCTGGGAGAGCTGGGACCGTTCAGCCTAGAGAAGAGAAGGCTTGGGGGGATCTCATTACCGTGTGAAAAAGTCTGATGGGAGGGAGTGAAGAAGAGGGATCCAGACTCGTCTCAGTGACACCCAGTGACAGCAAAAGAGATTGAGAACCATGAAATTCCACTGGAACATAAGACAACACTTGATAAATGTGAGGGAGGTCAAACTCTGGTCAATTCACAACCCAACTGGACCCAGTGGCTTTTGGCAACCTGCCCTAGCTGACCTTGCTTTGAGCAAGGGCATTGGAGCAGATGACCTCGCAAGACCCTTTCCAACCCAAACTATTTTGTGATTCTGGGGTCCTGTAATGCCTGGAATGCCTGGCAGGCTCTCTGAGAGCTTTTCTGTAGTATCCCCACACCACCTGGACTCCTGGTGTCCCTTGAAGCCAAGCCTCCCTGTGAGGATGATCTCCCTCACCTTGTAACCCTGAGGACTGGGTGGACTAGTGAATACAAATGGCAGCAGTGCCTCAACATACAGTAGTGTCCCCTAGCCCCGAGCCCATGGCCAGCCCCTTCTTCCTTGAGGATTTGAGTGGGAAGGGACATCTGAAGAGATGTCTGCTCTGAGCAGGGGGATCTTTACAGTTAGCTCAGGCAGGTCAGTGCTTTCTCCAGCTGAGTTTTGAAAACCTCTGTGTCCCTGACCCACTGCTTCTCCACTATCACAGCCTTTTTTGTGTATATATATATGTTTAAAAAGGTGTGTATCTATAAATGTGTATGAGTATTTATATAGATAGATATGAGCGGGTAGGGGGTGGTTCTTTCTTTGACCTGACAAGAAATTTCCCTTACTGCTGCTTGTTGTTATGGTCTCTTCTCCTTTTGTTCTCTTCATGATCCCTAGGCAGATCATTTACTCCGAGCAAGGAGAATGACAACCTACTCCCCAGGCACAGCCTTGCTGTGACCCTCTGGAACCATGCAGGCAGGCTGTGGTGGCCAGATCCAAGCAGGGACATGCCTTACAGAGGGATTGTGGTACTGAATGTGAGCTGACGCTGGGACAGAGCCAGTGGCCATGGGGCACAGCAGAGAAGACCTCCAGCAGCTCCCCTTCAACCAAGGCAGGGAGTAATGCACCCAGGGCTGTTCCTGAGGGAGGATGGTGACACAGAAAAGGAGGCACCGTGGGCTGGGGTGCAGGGAACTAATGCTTGGCCCTGCGTCTCCGGCCTCCTGGCAAGCAGTGCCAGGGCTTGCAACCTCAAGGCACCCCCAAGCCTGCAGGGGTCCTATCCTGACTGTGGGGAGCTGCTCTGGCTCTTGAGAATCTACTGGCAGAGGTGGAGTTGGTGGTTCTCATCCTGCACCTCCATTGCAGTGACTGGGTGACAGCCCTACCTGTTTGACGGTAATTTTTGGGTCCTGGCAGTGTGGGAGATTCCTAGAGCATCATGGCTCTTGTTCTCATTCCCATCCCTGCACCAGCATGGCTCTGCTGCCCCACACATGGCCCCACAGTCCGACTCTGACACATCAACAGGGCACGCTGCATTCAGGGATTGGAAAACATCCTCCTGGTACCATCTGCCCAGTAGACCTCAGTGTCATGTCCCTCTGCCGCCCGCCTGCTTTGGCAGCCCTCCCCAGCACTGGTCCCTGCCCAGACTTGGCTGTATCCCGTGCAGGGGTTCATAGACAGCCCTGCTGTGGGGTCTGCCAGGGTCTGGACACGTGTGAGCCAGGGAAGGGCTGGATTCTCCCTCAGTGCAGGCAGAGCTGGTCATATTTAAATGATCAGCCCACACCTGGACCATGGTGAATGGCCAGGGCTGGAAATGGAAAACACAAAGGGTCAGGGTTGGGGCTGACTTTTGGGGCAGCATATGGGGTGGGGGAGACTGTCTCAAGGGCATGTGCTGGGCACAGGGACTGCGGGATAAGAGCAAACTCACACGGTCGTGCCTTCTGCAGTGCAAGCCCTGACAAAGGTTCCCAGCCTCCCTTTCAATGCCGCACTTCAGGAGGGACGACAGCACTAAAGGATGCGGAGTGAGGGACACGAATCCTTCTTCATCCACTTCCCAGAACTCACAGAGCACCAGGACGGAGAGGAGTTCTGGCTCGGCACTGTGAGCATGCTTTAGGGGAACCACAGCCTGGACACTGCTGCTGAAGAGCTGAATGCCAGAATTATTCTTCCCCAGGCAATTTCCAGCCCACATCAGCTGCCACCTTGACGTTCCTCACCTCTCCTCTGATGTGCCTGGACGTTTCCTGGCCCCCTCCCCATGGTCTCTGCAGGGCCCTGAGCTGGATGGGGATCACTACTGCTGTTCCACCTCCCCGGGGCTCTCCGGATATGGCAGGTGCTTGAAGGGACTACGGTGCTTTGCCAAGGACAGTAGATGTGTTCAGTTGTGCCTGAGGGTGACAAGAACCACTTTCCAGTCTTCCATTTTTGTACCTTCTTGGTGTCCACTGCCTCCCCTGGGATTGTAGAGTCCTCCTTTCCCTGCAGATCCCTGGGTTTAGCACTTTCCCTTTGGCTGACTCCGTTTTGGGTGATCTCTCGCTTTATGGGGCTCAAGTCACTGCCCACTCAAAGCACACGCTGTCCACGGCGATCTCTCAGGCTCTCCAGGCAACTCCAGACTCCTGTCCTTAAGGACATCACCTGCCATATCTGGAAGCCCTGGGGGACGTCCCCCATGTGGGACAGCCCTGCAGATGTACCTCAGTGACTGTTCACCATCTCCACTGCAACTGCAAAATCAAATCCAAACTTTGGTCTCTAACAGTTCATAAGATGACATTGAGCTCTTTGCTCCTGAATCCATGGAGCAACAGGCCCTTTTGGGGGTGCCATCCCTGGCAAATGCTTTGGAAGACAAGTGAAGACTTCTGGCACTGCACTGGAGAGAACCCATTTATTAAAGAGCTGCTGTGAGAGAGTCAGCGCTGAGCCAGTGTTACACATACACGAATACATGCTACAGGCGAGACAGAGAAAGTTCAATGAAGCAATACCGATAGTGATTATAATACTGATGATAACGACAGTGAAAATTATATGTACAAATATCCGGACGTTAATGATAATAAAAACCTTCACGAAGTCAAGGCTAGGAATGGGTTACCACTGGACTAACTTGTGGAAAGAGTTGTAAAGTTTATGACTACTGAAAAAAGTTCTTGATACCACTTTCCTCAGGACACCCTTGAGCTCCTGGTTCCTCATGCTGTAGATGAGGGGGTTCACTGCTGGAGGCACCACAGAGTACAGCACTGCCACCACAACATCCAGAGATGGGGAGCAGATGGAGGGGGGCTTCAGGTGAGCAAATATGCCAATGCTGACATACAGGGAGACCACGGCCAGGTGAGGGAGGCACGTGGAAAAGGCTTTGTGCCGTCCCTGCTCCGAGGGCATCCTCAGCACAGCCCTCAAGATCTGAACGTAGGACACCACAATGAAAACAAAACACCCAAAGACTAAACAGGCACTAACCACCAGAAGCCCAACTTCCCTGAGGTAGGAGTGTGAGCAGGAGAGCTTGAGGATGTGGGGGATTTCACAGAAGAACTGGTCCAGGGCATTGCCCTGGCAGAGGGGGAGGGAAAATGTATTGGCCGGGTGCAGCATAGCATGGAGAAACCAACTGCCCCAGGTAGCTGCTGCCATGTGGACACAAGCTCTGCTGCCCAGGAGGGTCCCATAGTGCAGGGGGTGGCAGATGGCAACGTAGCGGTCATAGGCCATGACGGTGAGAAGGGCACACTCTGAGGACATAAAGAAGAGAAAGAAAAAGACCTGTGCAGCACATCCCCAGTAGGAGATGTCCCTGGTGTCCCAGAGGGAATTGGCCATGGCTTTGGGCACAGTGGTGGAGATGAAGCCCAGGTCAAGAACAGAGAGGTTGAGGAGGAAGAAGTACATGGGGGTGTGGAGGCGGTGGTCGCAGGCGATGGCGGTGATGATGAGGCCGTTTCCCAGGAGGGCAGCCAGGTAGATGCCCAGGAAGAGCCCGAAGGTCAAGAGCTGCAGCTCCCGTGTGTCTGCGAACGCCAGGAGGAGGAAGTGGGTGATGGAGGTGCTGTTCGACATTTGTTGCCTCTGAGCCCTGGGCACTGTCCAAAGAGGAAAAGGCAGTGGCCAGTTAGGGAAGACTTCTCTGAGTAAAAGTTTTCTCCAATTCTCATGGAAACCCACCAAACATCCTCTCCTGTTCACAAGAACTTTGTGCAGCTCCTTTGCTTGAGATGTGGTTTCTGCTGGATGAGGGTGCCACGAGGAGCTTGGGCTGTGCTCTAGGCTCTGGAGGAGTCGATCCTGATGTGCACGAATAGGTAATAGGAAAACAGGGCAACCTCAGATTTAATCCACTCATGATATCAAAGACCTTTTCAGAAGATCTGCTCTGCCCATCAGCCCTGCTCTCAGCTGCCCTGCGCTGGCATCAGTTCAAGTTGGAGGATGATCACACACAAATGTTCCCCCCAAAAGAAACTGGACATTGCTTAGAGCAGAGGAATTCAGTTCCCAGGTGCAATCTGCAAAGCCCTCAGCCTGTCTCGTCATACCTGAGGAGGACCTCAGCTCTCCCTTCCCAGCAATGGACACGGGGCTCATTGCAGCTGCCTGTGCACAGCCACACAGCAGCATTTGCGTGGCCTTAGCACTGAGGTGTCTTCTCCATGGAGCTCCTTGAAAACACAGTGATGCCATGGGAGAGCTGTGCCATTGTGGAAGACAGCCTGTGGCCACCCAGCAGGGAAAGAAGGCAAAGTGCTAAAGTCGGGGTGTCCTGAAGGGAGAGTTTTCTCCTTTGTATCACTGAGAGCCTGGCGCTTGAAGGAGACTAGGACACTTTACTCCCATGGAGTAATACGCATGGCGAGACCCCCTGGGTTGGTCTCTGAAGTGCATCTGAATCCAACTCCCTCATCCCAATCGAGTTACAAGAACAAGAGGAGCAGAGACAGGAGGGAGAAAATGAAATCAGCTCAGAAAATTCTCTATTAGAACAAGGGTCTCGGTATCTTCTCCAGAGTGAAGAAATAAATTCCCCTCTTGCACTGCCCACCAACCCAACCAAAAGTGGAAAACTCACAGGAAAGACTTATCTTTCAGGAAAACGTTCTTCTTGAATGTCCCCTTGGAAAAGCACGAAGGTAAGCTGAAGCTGTGAGGAGCCCTGACCCACGTTGCACCCTCTCCACAGCAGAAGGACCCTGCCCTACCAGGAGTCGCTCCTTCCACCCACACTTCTCCCCACAGCAGCTCCGTGGGAGCTCCCCGGGCAGGCGGAGAGCTGACCCTGGACGGCGGCAGAGTCCCTGCCCCGGCACACAGCCCCCGGG